TTGCCAGTTTTCGTGTTGGACCGCCCACACCGGGGTGCACGCATGCTTGCACATGGTGCGCCATATGGGGTGGTGCGTGTGTGGTGTGTTTGCGGTTACACCCCGCTCACTGTGACGTGTTCTGCTGCATATGAATGACACTAGGAGGGACCTGCGTGTGTGGGGCGCATCCTGTGTTAGTTTGAGGTGCGTAGTTTTGCCAGTTTTCGTGTTGGACCGCCCACACCGGGGTGCACGCATGCTTGCACATGGTGCGCCATATGGGGTGGTGCGTGTGTGGTGTGTTTGCGGTTACACCCCGCTCACTGTGACGTGTTCTGCTGCATATGAATGACACTAGGAGGGACCTGCGCGTGTGGGGCGCATCCTGTGTTAGTTTGAGGTGCGTAGTTTTGCCAGTTTTCGTGTTGGACCGCCCACACCGGGGTGCACGCATGCTTGCACATGGTGCGCCATATGGGGTGGTGCGTGTGTGGTGTGTTTGCGGTTACACCCCGCTCACTGTGACGTGTTCTGCTGCATATGAATGACACTAGGAGGGACCTGCGCGTGTGGGGCGCATCCTGTGTTAGTCTGAGGATGCACGCGTCTTTGTAGTTCGAGACATGGTTGTTGATGTGGTTGAATAGCAATATAGAAGATCTCGTGCAGGGAATGTCACACCAAATAAAACCCGCACAGGCGGTTAACAGGGCCCTATTAAGTCACGCACACGCACACACACACGGACGCATACTTTCTCTCTCTCTCTCTCTCCCTCTCTCTTTCTCTCTGTCTCCCGTCTGGCCGGGTTGTTGGTTGGTTTACATGAGTTAGAGGTGTCTGCTCAGACACTTTGGGCTTTGGTTGTTTTGCGGTGTGGCCGACTGGGAAAGGAGCTGATTTGCCAATTGCAGGTGCAATTACAGCCGAATGTGGGCCACCGGGAATGCAGACGCACCCCACAAGGCGAATGTCATGCAAGACACATCACAAAATGCAGTCTTTGGAAGATTTTCTTTCGCTCCTGCGCTTGGCCGTGTTGTGTTTCGCGGCGAATTTTCGTTCCTCTGGCTGTGTGGGTTTTTGTTGGTGCGTGTGCGAGTCAGCGAGAGCGCGTTGTGGGGTTGAGACTTCTTTGTTGTGCAAGAAGGAAAACCAACCAGCACAAGAAGAGAGAGGAAAAGAGCGAAAACGAGAGGAAGTTGTTTGTTGTTGTGTGTGCGCGGGCGAGACGTTGTGTGTGCGTGTGGTGTGCGTGTGGTTTGGCGTTTGCTTTTTTGTCTTCTTCTTCTTCTTGGGGTGAAGAGAGGGGAGCGTGCCCGGGAGCGATCGTTACGCGTTGCTGTCGTGTTTTTGTCTGCCAACCACAGCAGCCCCGCTTCCTTTCGGCATCACCACCATCGGTCGCGCGTGTGGAGAAAGAAGCAAGGGGAGCAGAAGGAGAGAAAAACCACAACAACGACAAGCAAGTTTGCGCAAAAAAACCGGCAAGAAGCAAAGCCGCAAAGGAGCCAGCCAGCCAACTTGGTAAGCGATTTGTTCACAGCCGAGCACGCATGCGCCTGTGTTCTTCTGGCGTGGGAACGTGCCCTCCCCTATCTTTAGTCTTGGTGGTTCGGCTTGATTGCCTTCTTCTTGCGAACGTGTGATGATCGTGATTGCTGTTGGTGGCTGAAGGAGAGGGAAGGGGGGAGGAGGGGGGAACAGGTTCAGACGTGCCCTCCCGCCTGCTTGCGTGCGTGTGCGTGCGTGTGCGTGCGTGTGCGTGCGTGTGCGTGTGCGTGCGTGTGCGTGCGTGACTTGGCTGGGGGCTTTTCCTGTTGTCGCTGCTGGTAGCAGTTGTCTCCCTTAAGGGCGCAAGCGAGTGCTCACTTTTTGGCTTGTTGCTTGCCCGCCTGCGTTGCTGACATGCGTGCTCCCTGACACCCCCAAAAACAGGCTTTGATTGTTGCTCGGGTCTGACTTCCCCGCCTGTCGTCAGACCACGTTGTGAAGGAGCATCCCATATCCAACCAACCAGATACACAGGTTTGGTTGCGCTGCGTTTGCGTACTTGTGAGGCGGTGACAACGATGATGATGAAGACGACGACCATGTTGACGGCGATGTGTGCCTGTGTGATCCCCCTGAGGGAGGGAGAGTTGTTGTGGTTGTTTGTTGAGTTGTTGCCTGTGTGCGCGCGCGCGTGTGTGTGCCCCTGTCCCCTTCTCTCTTTCTCACTCGCTCACATACACATCTTCACACACTCACATCAAACACACACACACACACGCACTTTTGTGTGCAGCATGTCAAAGACGAAGATGGACTCCAACGCCACCACGTCGTCTTCCAAGGACAAGAAGGGTTCCTCCTCGCCGCCAGCGGAGCAGACACAAAAGCCAGCGTCTCCCAATGGCACTGCCAATGGGCTTGCTGCACCCCACCCAAGTGACACCACTGCACCACCAGCCACAGCGACAGCAGTCACTGCCACGGACAGCAGCAACACCAACAACGCACCGCAGCCGGAACCAGCCAAGCCCGCCGCTCCGCCATCAACAAAGACAACTGGCACGGCGCAAGGTACGGGCACAGCGCACATGAACGGCCACACAGCTTCCACCCCTCATGAGGCTGCACAGCCCAAGTCACAGCCACAACCACACCCACAGCAACAGCAGCAGCCACAGCAGCAGCCACCGCAGCAGGCACAGCAGCAGCAAGCGGGGGCCACCGAAAGCAAACAGGCCAAGCCTGCCCGTGCGGCCAGCAGGGAAGGCCCGCCCTCACCCACAAAGCAGCGAAACACGGCGGCGGACCAGACGCCTGCGCAAGTTGGAAGCACGCCACAACCGCCACCGCAACAATCTGAACAGCAACAACCACAGCAACCACAGCAGCTACAGCAGCCACAACAGCCACAGCAGTCACAGCAGCCACAGCAACCACAACAAGGACAGCAACAGCAACAGACAGCAACAGGGGCGGCGCGTAAGGAATCGCAGCAAACCGCAGCTGCGCCTGTAACCAACCCAGCAGAGCGCGAAAAGCGCACCACCCGCCCCAGCAGCACCAGCAGCGGCAACGGCAGCGGCAACGGCAGCGGCAACGGCAGTGCAATTGCCCCCGCTGCCGGCACCAACGGCGGCACCGCTAAGCAGACAAGTGCCAACGCTTCCGTCGACAAGGCAGAGGCGACGGGCCGTATCGAGGGCACGTCGCACTACACGGCCACCGACGCGGCGGCGGCTCCGCCTGCCACCGGGCGCAAGTCGCAGCAGGCCGGTGTGGCCAACGCCACGAATGGAAACGGACATGCAACCACAACGGCCAATGCATCCACCACATCCACCGCCGCCACCACCACCACCACAGCGAAGCCGCAACAGGCGCAAGCGCCCGCATCGCAGGCACCCTCTGCCCAGCCGTCCACCCGCCCCTCGGAGAAGTCCACCACAACGGCGGCGTCGGAGCGCGAGAGGGACAGAGACGCCAAAGACAAGGACAGGGAGCGGGACCGCGAGCCAAAGCGCAGCACGGCGTCCCATGCCCGTGGGCGGCGCAACACGGCAGACGCCAACATGAAGGCTGCGGCCCGCAAGTCGGCCAAGGCGGTCAAGGCCACGACGGTCGTGGTGCCGGACCAGGACAGCGATGACGATGACGAGGCTCCAAAATACGCCACCCGCACCGTCGGTGGGCCCAGCGACGCCCCAGACAGATTCGAATGCGTATGTTGCCGTTCTTGCCGCAACTCTTGTTGTTGTTGTTGTTGTTGTTGTTGTTGTTGTTGTTGTTGTTGTTGTTGTTGTTGTTGTTGTTGTTGTTGTTGTTGTTGTTGTTGTTGTTGTTGTTGTTGTTGTTGTTGTTGTTGTTGTTGTTGTTGTTGTTGTTGTTGTTGTTGTTGTTGTTGTTGTTGTTGTGGTGTGTGTGTTAGGGGAGGAAGCGGCTGTTAGTGGTGGCGGTGTCAATGTGATGTCGGTTGATATTATGGCGGGATGTTGCTGGCACAGGCGGGCATGCCTTTCGTTTTCTTGCTGCCCCGCCCTTGTTCACCCTGCACGTGCGTGTATGCTTACCTCGCTCTTCTCTTTGCAGTACGATAAACTGCTTGGCAAAGGCAGCTTCAAGCGCGTGTACATCGGACACGACCGGCACGAGGGCTGCCAGATTGCCTGGAACGAAATCTCGGTCAGTGCTCATGAATGCGTGATGTGCATGTGTGTATACACGTGTGCGTTTATGTGTGGACCGGTGGGTTTGATTATTGCCGTGGATTGTCCCATGCTCTCTCTGCTTCTCAATTTTTTTCTCATGTGCATGCATGTCGTGTCCGATGCTCACCCCTTGTTGTTGTTGTTGTTGTTGTTGTTGTTGTTGTTGTTGTTGTTGTTGTTGTTGTTGTTGTTGTTGTTGTTGTTGTTGTTGTTGTTGTTGTTGTTGTTGTTGTTGCTGTTGTTGTTGTTGCTGCTGCTGTTGCCCCGCCACCTCCGCACACTCATCCGAATGCCAGGTCAACTCGAAAGACCTGGAGGCACGCGCAAGCCTGGAGGTGATGATCCTGCGGGAGCTCAACTCCAAGTACATTGTGAAATACGTGTCCGATTTTATGATGGCAGACACGGACATCCGCACGCGCGTGGTGATTACGGAGCTGATGATTGACGGCAACCTCAACGCCTACCTCAACAAGATGTTTTCCGACGGCAACGTCAAGCCCGCTGTTGTCGTCGCCTTCACCTCGCAGATTATCGCCGGGCTTGCGCACATGCACGACCGGCCCAAGCCCATTGTGCACCGCGACATCAAGTGCGACAACCTGTTCATCTCCAGCTCCGACCGCTCGCTGAAGATTGGCGACATGGGCCTGGCCACCCCCGAGGAGAATGCAAAGAAGAAGAGCGGAACTGTGCAGTTTATGGCGCCAGAGATGCTCTCGGAGTCGACCACATATGACCGCCGCGTCGACATTTACGCGCTGGGCATGGTCGTGTACGAGATGTTTGCCCGCCACTACCCTTACCACAACCTTACGCGCCCGAAAGTGGTGGAGAAGGTGACGGCGCACAAGCGCCCAGACGACTGGGACGCCGTCCTGCCCCAAGGGCCCATCCGCAACTTTGCCGAGCGCTGCGCATGCTTTGACCAAGCAAGCAGGTGTGTGTGTGTGTGTGCATGCGTTTGTGCATGCGTTCGTGTGTGTGTGTGTGCGTGTGTAAATGCGTTTGTGTGTGTGTGTGCGTGTGTAAATGCATGCACGAACTCGTTCTTGTTGCGGTTTGTGGAAGACACCTCCATGTTAGTGACCCTTTCTCTTGTCCCGTCTCATTGTCCTGTCCCGTCTCATTGTCCTGATCCCTCTTCCTTCGGTTGACCCGCACCATTCATGACCGCTTCACCTCACCATTTCCCCGTCGCCTCCTTGCTTTCATTGCTGCAGACCGCTGCATGTGTCCACGTTGCTTGAGGATGAGTTTATGACGCGCGCGTGGAACAAGGAGGTGGTGCCGACGGAGGTTGTGCTGGCGCCGCACAAGTCCCGGCTCAAGCTGGCGGCGGTGCGGCCAGAGGGGCTCGACCTGACGCTGGTGCGGCGGTACGAGATTTCCCGCTCGAACCAGGACCTGGGCACCGCAGCCATTGGCCTCGATGCCGTGGAGCAGCCGGACGTCGCCTTCCAGTGCGGCTGGGGCGAGAAGAGCATCGACGTCGCACACAGACTGGTGCGTGATGTGTGTTGTATGTGTATATATGCATGTGTTTTGTTTTATGTGGAGATGTGTTGCTGTTGGTTCCCTGAGGTCGGTTGTGTGGCCTTGATGAATTTTTTCGCCCACCTGCTCGCATATTCACACACGACACTTTCTCGTCGTCGTCGTCGTCGTCGTCTCTCCTCCTCCGCCTCCGCCTTCCCTTCCTCCCCACCCCCTCGTCCATCGTCCCTCACCACCATCCCATCCCTGATGTCATGTCGCTTTGCAGGTTGAGAACCAGCACATGCGGCGCTCGGACGAGACGCTGGTTGCCGCTGCCATTGACCGCTGCCGTGACATTATCCGCCCACAGTACGACGAGAACACGCAGGGCGCCTTTGCCTACAACGAGAAGCTCGACAGACGCGGCGTGCCGGCCAGCCACGAGAAGAAGGCCGCCCGCGCCGCAGCAAAGCAGCAGGCAGCTGTCAAGTCCTCCAGCAAGGCGCAGGGGCTGGGCAAGCTGAGCAAGGCGGCCAAGAGCGCGGCGGCGGCAACGGGCGGGGTCGCAGACGGCCTGTCGTCCTCTGTCGACGATGCGATTAAGGAGGTGGTGCAGAAGTGCAGCCCGGAGACGGCGCATGTGCTCAGGCGCCTGCAGACAAAGGCGGCAAAGCACGACGCAGACATCGAAGACCTCGAGGTGCGCAGTGTGCTTGTGTTTTTTTTCCCTTGCCGCTTGCTACGTGTCTGCCAATGTTTTACCGAGACCTTGCTTCGCTTCTCTCTTTGGAGACTTCGGTGTGGAGGAAGAGAAGGGAGAGAGGTTGGTGATTTGGCTAGACATGGTTGAAGCAGCAGCATTTCGGGGTAAGTCAATCAACCATGTCCCTGCTCTCAACACAATGTCTCTGTCGTGGTGCATCGGCCACCTTGCTTCTGCTGCTGTGACTCCCAAACAGGCACGCGTGTCCCGCTCGCAAAACCCAGACATCCTCACGGCGTACCACCGCGCAAAGCGGTGAGTGTGCGCAACACAACACAACACAACACATGCCTGCATACATGCACGTCTGCTATTGTCATTGTTTGTGCGCTCATACAACGCGCAACCCGAACAAACGCACATCACGCACTCGCGCTCAATCATTCACACTTACCACACCAATTGTAACCTGTGTTTGCTTTGCACTTGTGACGCGTTGTGTGCATGGAAATTTGCAGGCGCTACGCGGACGACCTGTCCCGCACGCGCCGCGAGTACCACCGGTACCTGCGCGCCCTCGAGAAGAACCAGATCCCCCACTTTTTGTCGCAGTCCGCTGGCGAAATGCACCGCCTCATGCGCGCGAACCCAGCGCTGGAGGACGCCATGATGGCCCTTGTTGATGCCGCACGGAGCTCAACAGTGCCTAGCACAGCCGGCTCAACCAGCAAGCGGCAGTACCACCATTACGCAAGCGAGTCGCAGGCAGGCTCAGTTGCTCAAGGTGCCGGTGGTGGTCGGTCGCGGCAGCGTGGCGGTGGTGGCGGCGGTGGTGGTGGTGAGTCATCACGCCTTGCCTCCACGCGCGGCCCTGCACCCTCTGCTGCGCCGCAGCAGCAGCAGCAGCAGCAGCAGCAGCAACAACAACAACAACAACAACAACAACAACAACAACAACAACAACAACAACAACAACAACAACAACAACAACAACAACAACAACCGCAGCAGGCTGCGCAAGCACAAGGAGCGGGGGCAGCTCAGCAGCCGCCACAACAGCCGCCTCAGCCAGCGCAGCAGGCGCAAGGTGCAAGCACAGCGCAGCAGGCGCAGCCCGTGGCGACCCACCAGACTGTGCAGCCTTCCCAGCAGCAGCAGCAACAACAACAACAACAACAATCACAACCGCGCCAAGCGGCTGCGCAAGCGCCTCAGCAGCAGCAAGCGAGTGATGCGCCGGTTGCTGTGCAACGCTCGAGACAGTCACTCCCACAGGCGGTGTCCTCACAACCGCAGCAGCAGCAGCAGCAGCAGCAGCCACAGGCAGTGCAGCCGCAGGCCCCGATCCAATCACAGGCTTCGTTGCAATCGCAGCCCTCGCTGCAATCTCAGCCTTCGCTCCAGTCGCAGCCCTCCATCCAACAACAGCAACCGCACCAACCCCAACAGCACCAACAGCAACGGCAACAACAGCAACAGCAGCAGCAGCAGCCGCCGCCCACCTTGTTGCAACAGTATCAGCATCCGGTCCCCCCTTATGCACCAACACCATTGCAAGCCCAGCGCTTGCAGGCATCACAGTCGCTGGCGTATCCGCAAATGCTGCACCTGACACCGCAGCAGCAGTATCAAATGCTGCACCCGTTTTCGTCGACTCCTGCCATGCTGACCAACTCGCAGCTCGAGCAGGTGCTCCAGCAACAGCAGCTGCAACAACAACTGCACCAACAACAGCAGCAGCACCTCCAGCAGCAGCAGCAACAGCAGCAGCAGCAGCAACCGCACTCCCAGCCGTCCCAGCAGCAACATCAGCAGCCGCAGCCCCAATATGGCATTGTGTTCAACCCCGCCATGGCTGCCCAATCAGGCGCCCCGGGGTTCTTTGCGCCAACTGCAGGCCAAGGCACCGCTGGCGGCATTCGCTCGTCCGGCAGCACAACGCCACAGGTCTCCGTAACACCGGCTCTGTCTACGCCAGCCTCGCAGCAGCAGCACCAGCTGTTCGTTCAGCTTCCCACGCACCAGCAGCAGCAGCCACAACCACAGCAGCCACAGCCACAGCAGCAGCAGCAGCAGCAGCAACATGGTCTCGGTGGCCCGCGCAGCCTCTCACTGCCTGCTGGGACTGTTGCATCTGTTGCGTCGGCGGTACCTGGTACCCGCGCACAGGGGTGGGGTGCCCAGCAGCAGCATCAGCAACAGCAGCAACAACAGGCACAGCAGCAGCATTTGGGGGTGCCTGGCGCAGCCCACAGCTTCCCAACGACACCGACTGCCACAACTGCGCCCGTGTTCTGGGGTGTTGTGCCTGGTGTGCCGAGCAGCAGCGGGGTGTTGGCCTCGATGGCGCCCGTGGTGTCGCAGCCGCAGGTGCTGTCCCGCCGTGAGAGCCGCGACCACACGCCCGCAACCATGGCAGCGGCAGCACACACGCCGCACAGCAAGAAGCAGCAGCAGCAGCAGCAGCAGCAGCAGCAGCAGCAGCAGCAGCAACACCAGTCACAGCCACATTCACAGCCACATTCACAGTCACAGTCACAGCAACCACAACAACAGCCTCAGCAACAACAGTTGCAAGCAGCGCAACAGCAGCACCAGCAGCAGCAGCAACAGCAGCAGCATGCACTCCAGGCACCGGCTCCACAACACCCCCAACCGCAGGCGTCCGCGCCCCAGCAGCAGGCGCAGATGCCTCGTTGCCAGGAGCAGCCGTTACAGCATCCACACGTGCAGCGGGCCGTGAGCGTATCGCGGGAACACCAGTCACAGCAGCAACGAAACAGCGACCAGCACAACAGCACCTCCTCAGAGCCCGCTGTTCTGCCCAGTGGCGGCACGACCACAACCACCAACATGAAGGCACAGCCAGTCACCGTCTTTGACGAAGGCCCAACCACCGTGTGAGGGGGCTGTTGTTGTTGTTGTTGTTGTTGTTGTTGTTGTTGTTGTTGTTGTGGCTGTGTGTGGTGGCGACACATGCTGCGTCAATTGTGACTGGAACAGTAACTGCACTGATTTGTTGCATTGGTTTGTTCAATTTGCCGACCGCTTGCTGCCAGTTGACCTGTATGCTGTAAGATATCTTTGACTCGCTGTGCACTGCTGTGTTGTTTGCCCGCTCAATAATTTTTCTCTCTATTTTGTTATCTGAACCGTGTGCATGTCACGCCACGCGCACATGCTTGCTTTTCTCCTGATGTGTAGATGACTTGTTCGACTTGTGTGCTCGTGTGTGTGTATGTGTGTGTGTGTGTGTGTGTGTGTGTGTGTGTGTGTGTGTGTGTGTGTGTGTGTGTGTGGAATGAGCGTTTTCTTGGGGCATCGTGATTGCGCTTCCCGCATATGTGTATTGATTGATCAGTAGAGGCAAGCAAACTGAACCCCGCAGACAAGCATGAGAGAGAGAGAGTGTGTGTGGTGTGTGTGGTGTGTGTGTGGTGTGTGTGTGTGTGTGTGCGTGCGTGCGTGTGTGTGTGTGTGTGTGTGTGTGTGTGTGTGTGTGTGTGTGTGTGTGTGTGTGTGTGTGTGTGTGTGTGTGTGTGTGTGTGTGTGTGTGTGTCGTGTGTGTGGTTGTTTTTTTTTTTTTCAGATCAGTTACGACGCGATGACGGCGATGCTGGCGAGGGCGTTGGAAAAGTTGTCACTCGCAGACACTAGAGCAGTGATGGGAGCCAGGATAGTGGGTGTGAGCGGGAAGTGAATGAGAACAGTGCGAGAGAAAACCGCACCGAGATAGATACAGCACGTGGGGTCTTATACACGCACACACACATGTGCACACACACACACATGTACACACACGTGCACACACACATGTACACACACACACACACGTTCACAAGTTGTACCTGTGAGGTCGCTGAGGTTGTATTGGTCATCGCCCAAGAGCTCGTTGTTGTCCTGTGGCACACATGCATATGGATGTAAGTACGACGATGATGCCTTGGCAGACAATGCACGTTGGGTCAATGGCATTGCACACGCCACTCGGCATGACGCGCGCGCACAGGCGTTCGACCACACGCACCCTGATCTCGACGCTTTGGATGCTATCCACTCCACTCATCTCCAATCGGAACGTCATAAAGTACAGGTAAGACGCCTCCTTTGGCCTGCACAGCCAAGGTTGCGTGGGTGAAGCGGCGGTAGTGAGAGAGTGTGTGTGTGTGAGAGAGAGAGTGTGTGTGAAAGTGAGTGTGCTCTGGGCGTGGGCAAGGGCGCTGGGCTGACGAGGACACACACACACACACACACACACACACACACACACACACACATACACACACACACACACACACACACACACACACACACACACACACACACCAGCACCAACACACACATGCACATTCACATACCTTTGCACGACGCAGCGGTACATGTCATCTGCCCGTTCGATGGTGATGAACCATTGCTCGTCTGCTCCTGCTGCTGCTGCTTCTCCTTCGACTGCTTCGATCCCGGCACAAGCCGCTTGATGGATTCCCACAGCCCACTGTGCAAGTGCGTATTGGAGACGGTTTGACGAATGAACAATGCTTGTCACACATGACACACGTGGCGCACACACACACATGGCACTGCTGTCCTCCAGCAGCTTTGCAGCCTCCATCCCAGGCCGTCGTTCAACTGACACGGACACGAACGTGCCGCTCAGGTCGTGCACGAGGATAACGGGTGCATCGTGGGGCGAGTGCGAATCAGCGCCCTTCACGCGCGAAAGCGCAAAGATGTCTGAGGACCTGCCCTCTCGCAAGGACAGCTGCCACGCCCCGGGGGTCGCCTTGAGCTGGAAGTAGCCCAGGTTCGCCATCACCAGCGTGTCGTACATCGAGCCATGCGTGCGCGTGCCTGACAACAACCAAGGGTTGGGGAAAAGGAGGGGGACAGTGAGAACGTGAGTTGTGATGCATGGCTGCGGCTACAAGCACAGCGTGGCAGTACTATGACACAACCAACACGGGCGCGGCCAGCATTAGCACCACCACCACCACCATTAATGATGTGTGAACGCCCCCTTGCGTTATTCATTGCGCGCACCGCCGCATCGACCGCACATGAAGCAACGCGCAACTTTATACACTCACCGAGTTCCAGCTGGAGGCCGGCTGTTGGGCGGCGTGTCGTCGCTTCAACGCACGAGCCCTCGACCGCCATGTGCTCTGTAGTGGTCACCGGGCAGATAAAGGTGAGTTTGCCCAGGGGCGGGGGGAGGAGGTGCAAAAGCGGGATGACGACAGGAGTTGCCGCAAAGAGCAAGGAAACGTGGACCCAGCCTCATGCACATGCCCGCACGCAAACACAACACAAAAACGCAACGCAACAACACAACGCAACACAATACATGAAACCAACCAACCAACCACTACCTCACCGAGCTCAAAGACCGCGTGCACGCCGCGCTGGCTGCTCTGAAGGTGGATGTTGTCCAGGTCGTGCTTCGACTCAACGCTCTTCACCATCCATGATGCTGGCGTCTCCAGGCCAAGCGTAAGCAGCGATGCACGTGGGAGGTTGGCAAACACAGCGCGCGGGCCAGGGTCGAGCGTGCCATCATCGGAGAAGGTGATCGCGGGCATGACTGCACGGTAAAACCGCTTCACAGGCATCTCGGAGACGCGTGGCGTTGGGTTGAGCAGCAGCGTGATGTGCACGGCGGTGTGCTGCATGAGGAGCGACAGCGCCGGGCCCATGCGCTGGCCGCCGTCAGAGGCAGGGTCCACAATCGCATACACCTTGGCATGTGCACACAGCAGCGAAGATGAGAAAGCGGCGGTGACGTGCCGTGATGATCGCGGCAGCAGGTGAGCAATCAGCTGCAATGCGATGATAGGAGCATACCCCCAAGACCCAACCAACCAACCAAATGACACAACATCACAAACGAAACAAAGTGCCCACCTGGTGAGGTGTGCGGCCAGACTGCCCAACGAGCGCAGATGTGAGCTCAAGTGCAGAGTGTGTTGTGTCGAGTCCTTTGAAGAGAGACAGATCAACGCGCCGCACTTGCTGGCCCTGCTCTGCGCTCTCCGCAGCACGCATACGGCTGCGACTCAACACTGCGCACACGCCAACAACAACATCGTTGCGGTATTGCAGGGCACGGGCATCATCGTCGCCGCTGCCGGCTGCGTACGCTGGGGGTGTGGCCAGCTGCGTCTGGTCGATGTGGCGCACGATTGCACGCGTGTTGATGCTGTCGCCATGACGCTTGTCCAGCTGGTGGTAATCGGCAGCACGCAGGGCACGATCCGTCATGGGGCCTGTTTTGTGGTGGTGGTAGTGGTAGGTGGTTGGTTGAAGTGAGCGAGTATGACCGACAAAGGTACTCGCCCTCTCATGCGTGCACAGGTACACAAAGACAAGCAATCACACACACACACACACACACACACACACACACACACACACACACACACACACACACACACACACACACACAAGCAACCACACACACACAAGCAACCACACACACACAACCACACACACAAGCAACCACACACACAAGCAACCACACACACACACAACCACACACACAAAACACACACACACACAACCACAAAACACACCGCACCACCCCCACGAACCAAAGACGTGGCCATTGAGTATGACGGTGGTGGCGGCAGGCGGAAGGCCAAACGCTTCGATCATACTGCGCTTGCTTGCAAGCAATGATGAGAACGAATCTTCGTCCTCCTTCACCTTGGCCATCACGTCCGCCCACGCCTTGACGCCCACAACCGTCTGGCCAAGCGCATTCGAAACGGCGTCGCCAGCCAGCACGCGCTCCAGCACCTTCCCTGCAACACCAAGCGCCTTGCTTGCAGGCACATATCGCGCAACTGCCTGCAAGTACGTCTCGAGTTGCTGCCCCGGCGTGTCGCGGGCGCCGCCGTGGAGAATGGCGACGCGAAGCTTCGACGTGCTCAGTTGGCGCCGCAGAAGCTCAAACGCCGACAGCTGGCCATCGCGTGTGTCAAGGTCCACCACCAGCCAGTATGTCATCGGCTTGACAGAGGGGTGTGTCTCCGGCTTGGTCGTGTACGCAACGTGCGCGAGCAGCTTGTCTGCTGGGTGCTCAGGGTCGGCCGGCTGCGCCACGTGCAAGTGGGATGGGGAGGTGAGGAGCGAGGGCAGCACGCGGGACGAGACGCCCTGCTTCATGAAGAAGTCCAACACGTCACTGTGGTCGGAGAGCCAGCCGTAGTACACGGCACGCTGAATGGCGGGTAGCGTGCTGGTCATTGCTGTGTGCACCTGCGACAGCACCTATCGCGGACATGAGGAGAGGCGAAGGAGAACGAAAAGAGCGGTGCATGTACGTATGTTAGCAAGGCGGTGCACAAGGCGCAGGAAGGCTGGCAGGAAACACACGCATACGCACACACAATACGCAAACAATACAAACGCACAAACAATACACAAACAATACACAATACACACAACAAAAACCACAAAGACACACGATACACACAACATGATGCACAGGAACAAGCAGACCAGACCTCATCTGGCTGCCCCGGTGTGAGCGGCTCTCCGTTGAAGAGAACAACGGGCTCTGCGTTGTCGCCAAGGCCAAGCTTGTGCACAAACACATCCATCTTCTTGCGTGTCTTGTCGTATGTTGTGCTTGCAGGCAACAGCTTCTCCCACGTGCTCATGTCGTACTGTGCCACAAACGCCTCTCGCAGCACATCGACCAGCTCGCCGTCGCCGCCATCGCCGGCCACCGAATCTGCCATAGCCTTGAAGAGTGCTGTCAGGAATGCAAACGCCTTGATGTTGGAGCCTTTGCGCTTGACGTACTCAAACGCGCGTGCCACCAACACGCCGGCTGTTGGCACGCTGTCCTCGTCCAAGTCACCGTTCACCTTCTCCGTCGATGAATACGGCTCAAACGCCGGCACGCGGGCGGTGATGGCGGCCTGGCCCTGGCTCGTCGCAAACACCACGCCCACGCGCACCGGCAGTTTGTTCTCAAATACCTCGTGGTGAAGTGCTGACAGGAGTGCGCGGTCTTCAGCACGCGCCGGGTTGATGACAGCCGTGAGCGTGTACATGTTGCGGGCGACGTGGCGCTGGTGTGGTGGCGGGCCTGGCCGCAGGAGCGTGACGAGGCTGGAAGCCCAGCGACTGTACATGCTGTCCTTCTCAAGGTTGTTCATGTACTTGACGGCAGAGGAACGCACGTCCACGCGTTTTGGCGTGGCCGGGGCCTGGTGTGACGCAAGCAGGCTGTTGATGGCGTGGGCAGTGTCTGCATCCGTTCCCAGCTGTTGCAAGGAGCCTAGCGTGTCGCTCTCGCTCTGAATCACCTTCAACAGGCTGAACAGGTTCGTGTTGGACGTCACATCTGTGTAGACCCCGTCAACAATGAGGGCGGACGTGCCTGGGGAGATGCCAAACTGCTGCATGCTGCGTTGGTTGGTCTCCACCTCCTTGCGAAACGCGTCCCCAACCTTCACGCCAACGAGCGTGTGTGCAATGGAAGGGAAGTTCTGGCTGACACGCTGGAGCATGCCCACGGGCTCCTTGGCTGTCATCACCCTCTGCGCCGCCTGGAACGAAATGTCCTGCAGCTCCCACGCCTGACACGGTGTGAGAGGAGGAGGGGAGGAGAAATGGAGAGAGAGAGATTGTGTGTGTGTGCGTGTGCGTGCGCGTGTGTGTGTGTGAGTGTGTGAGTGTGAGTGTGAGTGTGTGAGTGAGTGTGTGTGTGTGTGTGTGAGTGCGTGTGCGTGTGTGTATGTGGACAAGGAACAACAGCACGCCTCCAACAGTGCAAGCACAGGTGTTTCGGTTGCACCTTAAGATCCTTGATGACAGCGGTGTTGTTCAGGAGCACGCTCCTAAATGCATCCAGGTCGTCTGTCTTGTCTGGATACAGGCGCCGCAGGCTGTGGCGTGGTGTGTTGTGCAACGTTGAGGCGTGATGGGAGCAGGATGAGGGTGAATAAGCCATACAAGAGGCAGCATCACGTGTCCGAATGATCGTTGGAATTATTCACATCCAAGCTCATACATGATCTCATATGTGTGTGTGTGTGTGATTGCCGGGGACGTACGTTGTGAAGGAGAAGCCAGCCACTTCATCCTCACTGTCATCCACAGCAGCGGTGGTAGCATCATCATCTGCAGCAAAGCAGTGGCGGTGGTGGCGATGAAGGTGATGGGGTGAGGGATGGCGAAGAAGAACAGGCGTACGGTGATTGTGCGTGTGCTGTGGCAGGTTTCCAGTGCACATGCACGAGCAAGCGCAGCAACGGGCCCACACATGCCCGCATGTCGTGTTCAGCTCAATTGTGCTCATCAGACCTTGCACGGCAGCGTCGTCCATCACAGTGTACTCTGTCTTCTTGATGGCGAGCTCGGCGCCCCAGCCAACCAGGCGCATGCGCGATGCAGGCGTGCCTGCAAGCAAACATACAGAGGGTGAGTTGATGGGTGGCGGGGCGGGGGCAGAAAAGAGATGTGGGTGGGACCACAGAGAGAGAGAGAGAGAGAGTGTGTGTGTGTGTGTGTGTGTGTGTGTGCAAGATGTGTGTGTGTGTGTGTGTGTTTGTGTGTGCAAGATGTGTGTGTGTGTGTGTGTTTTGCCAAATAACATGACAATAGAGTCGTGGTGGATGGCTGGTGTTACGTTGCAGATGCCGCAGCACATATTGGACTTTCCCTTCTTGACAGAGCTGCGACAGGGCTTCGTGCCAGTCCTGTTGAGTGGGGGCGTTAGTGACTGGGGTGAGAGGGAGGCACGGAGGTAGGGGGATGGTTGCGTCATACAAATACATGTGCACCGTCAAGACAAAGGCAAACAGTTACGTAGACACACACAGACACACCCACACACACACACACAGACACACACACAGACACAGTGCAGGGGGACAGAGACGGACACACAGACAGACACAGACACACAAACACACAGACACACAGACACACACACAGACACACAGACACACACACACACACAACCTTGAAGGAGGGCGAGCCAATGTCCGCGTAGAGAACGACGACCGGCACGTCATTGCGGGAGGAGGAGGGGCGGATATGATCGACGTCGTAGACGGTGGATGGAGGATCCGACGCCGTGGAGATGATGGCGCTCAGGTCAGCGGCGCTGCAGGTGGCGGACTGGCCAACCACAGCCACAGCCTCGCAGCTGTACGGTGGAGGGAACGCGTGGGTGAATGTGTGTGTGTGTGTGTGACGAGAAGGTAGGCAAGAGGGACACTGGAGCTCACGCAACAGGACTCACTTGTCGTTTGCACTGAGCAGGGCGCTGTCGTCTTGTCCAATTTGGAAGAACATGGCCACCTTTGGTGACTTGGTGCGGGCACTCAGCGACAGCTGTCACGCGTGCGTGTGTATGCATGTATGTGTGTGTGCATGTGTTGTGTGCGTGTGTGTGTGTGTATGCATGTATGTGTGTGTGTGTGTGTTGTGTGCGTGTGTGTTAGAAGAGAGGACACACAGCGCCCCACACACTCCACCACAGTGCCAGAGGGCTCACCTTGACTGCGTCCACTGAGCTGGCGGATAACAGGTCCTCCGTAATGGAGAGTGCTCGCTCATACCCGTCTGTGGTCGGTTGGGCATGTGGGCAAACGTGTGTTGAGTGGAATGCAGTGTGAGCACTGCCAGTGGCTGAGGAAGGGAAGCACATGTGTCCATCAACTGTGCACAGGAGAACACGCACACATATACACACATACACACACACAAACACACACACATATACACGCATACACATAGACATATACACACACGCGCATGCACGCACACTCGCTCACACAAACACACACACACACTTACACACCCGCCCACATGCATGTACGCACACGCACAGACCTTGGTCGTGCTTGACAGCGCCAGCCTGTGCAAACGCGTCCACAAAGCTCCAGAAGTGCTGTTCGCTCACGTCTCCCAGGAGCTCGCTGCGGCAAGTTGGCACACCAAAGGGAACCATGAGCTGAAGTTAGAGGGAGCAGCGATGCAAGGCGGATAGCAGGCGTCAACACCAACACCAGTGACACACACACACCAGTGACACACACACACACACCCACACACACACCCACACACACACACACACACACACACACACACACACACACACACACACACACACACACAC